GTTATTTTAATCATATCTATAATCTAGTTACTATATAATTTAGATTATATTAATTAATTAGGAATAGGAAGACTTGTTTCCCTGTGGATCGACCCTTCTTCCCTACCTGCATAGTTAGAGGATTTAGGAATTATTTTTGATAAGGTAATATGACTTTATCCTGTCAACTATGAGGAAAAAATAAAATACTACCACGAAGAAGACTAATACAACAACCACTACTACGACTCAATTGTTTACCGCGGTACCTGAATTTTGTATCCAATATCCGAGAGCTAAAAACACCGATCGACCACTACTAGCGGCGAGATTGTCGACGAAGCAAATCGAGACCATATAGAACGTATCTCTGAGCAAGTATCAAATGAAAGACCCAAACATTACAGATCCGTAAAAAGAGGAGAGATAAGATTGTAACCAAGAGGGAAATTTGATTTATCTAACGAAAAGTAACTATGGGTCTACTTCCATTAACGCCTTCATGCCAACCCCTGCCTACGCATCAATTATTGGTGCAACAACAGTTAGTTAGGAATATATAGCAAAAGACGCATGTACCCTTCATATATCATTTGAAAGTCCAAAATACCCCCAGATAAACGAAATTCGTTAATCTAGGGAATGAAACGGGTAGCGCTCCATAATTTTAGGCAATTTAATCGGTTTTAACTTAATTATTCATTAGTGATAAGTGTGGTAGTTGGGGTATTAAAATAAGATATATAGTGGAGTTTATACATTTTTGAAAAATAAAATAGAGGACTTTATTATTATTATTATTATTATTATTATTATTATTATTATTATTATTATTATTATTATTATTATTATTATTAACAGAACTTTATACTTTATTGAAAAGTAAGGAATGGGAGAGGGGAAAAAAATGAAAATAAAAATAAAAATTATACGAGTAGTAGATTTAGGCCGAGACCATAAGAAGAGATAAAAATAATCTAAGCCCTTAGATCTTGTTAATCGGACAACTCACATGCTTTCTGTGTCATTGATGACATTTTTGTAATATTTTAACTTTATACAGTAGTTTCCAATTTCATTTCTCAAAAGTAAATGAAAATTCAGTAAAAGTAAATGAAATCAGTCTTAAAGTAAATGAAATTAGTCTTAAAATAAATGAAATTGCCTTTAAAAAATGGAAAAAAGTTTGTAAACAGTGAAATTACGAGAATGCTATTAATGAGAGCGGGTGCAATGTGAACCATTAAATGGAGTGCGATCAATGGTTGATATTAGTTTCTAAATTATTCACATTGGTTCTCACATGATCTCAGTTTTATATATATATATATATATATATATATATATATATATATATATATATATATATATGTGTGTGTGTGTGTGTGTGTGTGTGTGTGTGTGTGTGTGTGTGTGTGTGTGTTTGATTGGAAGGAGAGAAAAATAGTTATGCAAGTGAAGTTAGTGGGAAAGAGAGTTAATAAAATATTAGCGAGTCCTTACCAAATTAAAAAGTGTGTAATAGTTATTAAACATATGTAAAAGAAAGTGCTGCGATTATTATAAAACAGAGGGAGATTAAAGTATGCTTCATTCGTTTTTTATACACTATTCACGTGTTTTACTTTAATTAACTTTGATGAGTTAAATTTATCTGTGAAATCTTGTTATATTCGTCTCGATTTATACTATTTTAATTTAAACTGTTTATAATTTTCACATATTGGTAATTAATGACAATGATTGCAATCATGTATCGACAAACGAGAAAAGAAAGTGTTGCAATTATAAAGAAACTGAGGAATTAGCTATTTGCCAAAATTGGAAATATACGAGTAACACTTTAAAAACAATCGCATTTAGTAATTGTAACACTTATAAAAACGGATAAAGTATTCCAGACCGCTGCATACGTGGGCTTTCTTTTGGGACGGAGCCCACCACGAATCTAAACAAGCAATCAGTAAGCAACTTTAATGCACTTTTTCGCCTTTAAATAAGTGGTGGAAGTCCAAAGTAGAAAATGGAAAAAATAGCAATCTACCATAAGAAAGCCGCCCAGCATCAATCCAAAATCCCATCTACTTGAGCAACAAAGATGGAAATATTTAATGTCATTATCAATTACGGTTAGTAGTCAACTTGAACAACTATTCTTTTTCTTTCCAAGATTATACAATGACTGAGAATAGGGCACGTATTTCAACACTTCTAAATTACTCAGGTGGGCGCTACCCTTCTTTTAAAGCTCATCAAGTCATCATTCATCTCCCTCCTCCCGTTTTCTTTCCCGTCTCATTTAAAACGGAACTGAATTAAATTGATTGGAGCTGAACTGAACTGACTGAATTAAATTGATTGGAGTTGAATTGAACTAAAATTAAGTAAATGTGAATAGGTCCTTAGATATGTGAATTGAATCGTTCACATGCTTCTTGTGTTATTAATGCTATTTCGTAATATTTTAACTTTATAAAATAGTTTCAGTTTCACTTAACAAGTGATCAACGACTGAGATTAGGGATTACTTTGTCAGAGTCATAGTCGTTACTCGGTCATTTTTGTAGAGGATACTTTATTTTTTTTACAAGCGGATACATGCTATTAATTTAGTATTAATATATCTTTTTTTTTCATAATATCAACTAAACCATTGTTTATATAAGTGCTTCATTTTTTGAGTTTTACATGATTCACATAATCAACTTTTGACCAATGTTAGTAATTACGAGTAATACATAATACATAAGAAAACATATAATCATGTCAATACTTTGCAAATGTTTCATTCATAGTACAATATATTTTTATCTAAGTACAAACTTTTTATTATATATATTTAATTTTAATTAAAGATGTAAATCATGTAATTGATCAAAGTTCTACATTGGCACATTCAAACAGTTAAAAAAGGACACTTAAAAATGCAAAGATTTTTTCCCCCAATACTTCATATATTAATAATTAAACTTATACATTGACATGTGCTGATTTGCATAACCAAATTTTGTTAATTATAAAAATAAAAAAAATAAAAAAACCAAAATCTTCACCACAAATTCTTGATTTAGGCAAATTTGTATTAACTTATTATAACACGGTTAACGTCACCCTAAAAGCATTTTATTGTTACCCTAATATACTACAAAAGTTACCAAGTTCCTAACATAAATTTTGCTTTTTAAAAATACTTACAATGTACTATTAGATTAATGGTTTTAGCTTTCATATCATATATTCATTAGAAAATTACACATTGAAACACAATCAAACTCATTACAAGTTAAAAGATACCTTTAAAGCATCTTCACAAAAAAAAAAAAAAAAAAAAAAGTTACCCTTAAAGCAACTAAAGCTAATAATATTAAGGAAAATTTGTCAAGAATATAACGACCTTTTAGCGGTCTTCCATAAATATAACGAACTTTGGATTATCCCGTAATATTATGACCTTTGACCCTGATCTTCCATAAATAGGACAAAAAACCGGTAACCTTTTTAAAAGGTTACCCAAGACACGTGTTGCATTGTGATAGGTTAGAAATATTAATTTGATTTTATATTTTTCTTTTTCAAGAAACTGATTTTTAATTAAGAAAATACACAAATAAAAAAAAGAAAGAAAAATGTAAAACCCACCCTGTTCTTCCCCAACCATTCCAGCAGCACAATGGGTTTTCCGACAGCCACCTTCCAACTAGCCTCGACGACCGGCGACCACCCCATGCCCTTCACTTTCCTTTTCCGACCACGTCACCCCATTCCCCTCTCCTTTTCGACCAGCCTACTCCATTCCCCTCCCAAATTCGAACTATGGCAGCCCTCACCTTTTCCCTTTCATTTTCGAATCCCTGAGTTTATATTCTCATCGGTTCTGAAATTCTGGCCAACCCCTAAACAGGAAACCCGCCCACTTCACCTAAATCCCACCGCTATTAAAATCGACTTCCGACCACTTCATCTAAAATTCTACCCAACCCTTTCATTTTCGACCCTGACACTATATACTTGCTTGCATCAATGGATAGAGGACGGAGAAGCGAGAATTACGGTGGGGGTTTCACGGGGGTGGGTGGGGCTCGCGGCCATGGTGGGTTTCATAGGGGTGGTGGTTGTAGGGTGTTTCACGGGGGTATGGGGGCAGGGGGTGCTAAGGGAATTTTTTAAAATTAATTTTTTTTTTAATTATTCAAATCAACATTTTATATTAAAATCATTTATTAAAATAAAACAAATTGTAAAATTAAACAAAAGAGTATATGGCCAATTAAAAAGTGACACGTGTCACACTTAACCCTTTTAACAGGTCCACCAACCGGTTACGTTCTATTTATGGAAGATCAGGGTCAAAGGTCGTAATATTCCGGGATAATCCAAAGGTCGTTATATTTATGGAAGACTGCTGAAAGGTCGTAATATTCCTGACAATTTTTCCTAATATTAAATTGTTAAAGCTACCGTTAAATTGGCAATTTTACAATAATTTAACGTAAACTCGCCTAATATTATACAATTTAATTGTCTTAAATTACTCCTTTCATGTTTTAATAAATGAAACGCTTTCCTTTTGCGGTCGTGTTTAAATAATTGAAACATCTTTTCTTTTGCGATCGTGTTTAAATAAATGAAACATTTCCTTTTCAGTAACTTATTTCTATTTTTTTTTAAAAAGAATAATATTCTCATTACTTTTTGATACTCTATTTACTATCAATCAATATATATTATTAAAACTCATGGCAAGACATGCTACTTTGCCATATGTCATCAGTTTTGCCATTTGTCATATGATGTGACGCCATATTATATTAGTCCATTAATATTGAAAAACTCTAGGCATTAATCCCCATGTACTAATATTTAGTTTCATTGGAAAATTCTTCATATGTGTAACATCCTATTATAGAGTAAAAGATTTGATTTATATACTACAATCGTTTTTTTTATGCAAATATATATTACAATTGTAATTATAGAGTAATATTTTTTTTTGTGCATTATGGAATAATATATATATTGACATCAAATTTATACAGATTTGATTTATCAATTTTTTTTCAAACCCAACAAATTGACTTATCATTTACTCTATATTTATTAATGCAATAGTGCGGTTAAAAGTAATAAATTTATAATGACCCGGGGCATCGCCCGGGCCAATAGCTAGTTAATTCCCACAAAATCCTTTACTTTCTTCTCTATTCTTAAATTTATTTTGTTAAAGTCAAAACGTTTTATTTATTCAAATTTAAATACGAGATACTATTCTCCTCTAAAAAAAAAAACAAAATACTAGACAGTGGGGGTAAGGAACCCCACCACCAATGAGCCTGGCTTGGTGACACTATGCCGATTATGGGGTATAGAATCGGGTTGAATTATATGCGGTTCCGAATAATGTAATATTATTAACAGTCAATATATAAAAATAATACTCAACAAAGTTGAACAAGAAGTAGAAGAAAATGCACCCCATATTCATATTCATATTCTGAAGCCTGGCAATTTGATTCAATTCAATCTCTCTCTTTCTCACTCCAAACATTCTCAATTCTCTTCAGGTTCGTCAATTTACCCATTTTTCTCATTAATTGCCGATAATTCTATTTTTATTCAATATATTTGTTGTTAAAGTTGACTGCATAATTTTTCTTTTTTATATTCTAATTTTCTTCCTACTAAATCTTCAATCCCCTCTTTCTCTCCATTCTTAATTTTTAAATTTGCTGAATTCTTCTTTTTTGGGGTTTTAAATTTGACTTTGCTGGTGTTTTTTTTTTTTTTTTTTTTTTTTTCGTTTTTAGTGCTCCTAGGGAATAAAATTAATTTAATACGGAATTTGTTGATGTTAGACGTTTCACACAAAAATTGCTTGAAAAAATAGAAGGGTTAATGTGTTGATTCTTAAGCAAGACATGCAGGACATGCATAAGGAATGAATAATAAAAGTTCCCCAATTATGCATTAAAGTATGTATTTATTGACTTTACACTCTTGTTTATAAACTTCTGAAATCAATTATGTTGTTTAATTGTGGGTTTGTACTTTGCAGGGAGTAAAAATGGCAGCAATAAGTAGACATGTACTCTTTGAGAAACCCCTATTCGAAGGAAAATCATTCAACAATCATACTTGGAGGGTTTCTCGAATCACATTCTCGGGATCCGCAAGATCAGAGCTTTCATGGTACTATCTTGTTGCTGTTGTTAAATTCGATGTTGATCAATTTAGCATACATGAATTGTAAACCGTTGGGATGAATCAAATAAATCAATTAGCGGTTTTATTGAAGTCATTGGGTTCAATGTTATATCATTAAGCATTTTAATATTCATGTGTGTGAGATTGATCAATAGTGAATTTTAACATGGATATTGTCGGGTTGACAGTATGTATTTGTTGCTTGTTTGATGTAGTGGTTGGTGCTCAGATTGTACAAATTCTTCTCTTGCTTGTGGTTTATATCATTTCATTTATCTGGGTTGTTCTAATGCTTTACAAGCTTTGTTGTCACCTTGTATGAAACAGTTTGAACTTGTTTGAAGCTTGTATTCTTTTTTCATGGACATTGTGATCTAGGTTTACTTTTAAGTTATCAGTGAAATCGTCGTCTCTTACTGTTTGAGACATTAAATTATTATGAAAAAAGGTAAAGAATGATTGTGAGATCATCTTATACAATATTTTTGTCGTATTCTAGATTTTTTGTAGATCCCGTAACAGCATTCATACACTGTTAAGAACGACACCATTAACACCATACAATATTTTTTATTATTTATGGATCAAGGCTATAGTAAATGCCTTTTCTGGCATCGTATAGGAGTTCACAGTTCGTGTTGCTCTTTCATTTGCATCTCTATATATTGTCACCAAAAACGCTAAATGCTAATAGCTTTAGTTAGTAAGACTGGATATTCCCCTTATCTGTATATTTGTTCCACTTTCAAGAATAAGAAAAGCCTCTGATTTATTCTTAATGCCTATGGAATTCTTGATATCTCCAGGTCTTGTGCAGTCTCGGGATCCAGATTGTTTCACCCTCATCAGAATGCTGCATTCACTAAATTGGGAAAGCAGAGGAAAACTCTAGCAGCAATAACTGCGTCCTTGAGTAATAGGACCTCAATGTATTTTGATTTTGCAGTGATTGGAAGTGGGGTTGCTGGCCTTCGGTATGCTCTTGAGGTTGCGAAGCATGGAACTGTTGCTGTGATAACCAAGGCTGAACCTCATGAGAGCAATACAAACTATGCTCAAGGTGGTGTTAGTGCAGTGCTATCTCCTTCAGATTCTGTAGAAAGTCACATGCAAGATACCATTATTGCGGGAGCTCATCTATGTGACGAGGAGACCGTCAGGGTAAGTTTAACACATTCCTTGTTAGTACTAATTGGTGATTATCCATGTGGAGACTGTCACAATAAATTTGAGTGACACAGGGCCATTATTTATGCCTGCTGATATTTTTTTTTTTGTTGTTGCCTTTTTACTGTTTTTGCATCTTTCTGAATGTCTTAACATGTATCATGTGTGTCAGTATAGAGATTGTTGTGTTTGGGGAGGGGGGGGGGGGGGGGGGAGGGGGCGAAGATAAAGAATTATCTTTTAACCGACTTATGAAAGACACATTCTACTCCTTTTGTCATCATCATTCAAGTTTTGCATTGATACCCCAAGTTGTAAGATTTTCTTATTGATTGTGGTTAATTGTATTTGCAAAATTAACATTACCATTTACTATGAATTTTTTCCTTTCTTGGGGCATCCAATTGAGTACATTATGTGATATGCTATCCACATGTTTTCCAAATTTGTGCTTGGTGTGCTGCTCAAAATTTTGGAGATGTAGTTTGCAGGCCTTGTTATAGATGATGAAGCAGTATTTAGCTAGCAAAAATTGTTTCCATTACGGAATTATCACAGAATTATGCTAACATTGTGGGAATTCTGTAGGAAGCTCTTCCATCATGTGTTTGAAACAATTGCAGAGGATACTCACAATTTATTCTGATTTTTAAAAATATGAGCCATTTTAGTTCACAGCTTCACAGACGTTATCTTTTAAAAAGTAGTAGTATGTTCAAGGTACCTGCTATGACCATATAAAGCCTTTTTAGTTCACAGCTTCACAGACGCCATTGCCTTTCAAGGTCAACATAACCAAATAGATCAAACATAATCAGCAGGTCACGTGATTTACCTCTTAGTAATTACTCCCTCCGTCCCTTAATACAAAGCCTCATTTTCTTTTTGGGTAAACCAAAATACAATGTCTCTTTCTATTCAAAGGTTGTATTTTTTGACATTATTACCCTCTTTTTGATGAGTTGTCATTTTTTTCCTTTACTTTTTTCTGCTTTTAACATCAATTTCCAACACTTTCTCTTTCTATCTCTTCATTTATTCCTTACTACTTTTTCTTTGTCTCTATCTCTCTCTAACCCCACATGCACATATGTACTTTTAATCATTAGTTTTAAAGAATTTACAACTTTCTTAATTCCCACGCAAAAACCAAAAGAGTCTTTGTAGTAAGGGACGGAGGAAGTACTAATTAGTCAATCACTTTAGCTGACCGTGGATCAAGGATAGAGTTTAAAGGAGCCAACAGTGAAAGGAGATAAAAATGGTGAACTTGGGCGCAGAGCAGTTGCTATCTATTTTTTCTCCATGTGTATCGCCTTTCATGGCCCATTATATTTTCAAATTTTTGGCATTAAAGTCGTTGGCTGTAAACAATATATATGTATTGTGTCAGTTCAATAGTTGAATATCTACCATAAATTTCTGGCTCTCTTTTATTTTCAGCTTGTTGGAATCAAACTGTTCATATGAAGTCATTTTATTTTAAATTGGTACCGACAGCTTTTCTTAAACTGAAGTATCACAAGAACCTTGGAGGTAGAATATTGTTCTAGTAGTGTCCTCCTGATTGGCATGTATATTTAGGGACATGAAAAGTCTTTTGCCATCTTTTGATCTTTTGCTTACAGTTGTATTATTGCCTCAACAATATTACCTGTGAAGGCTGTAGTTCATAATGTCATTTTAAAAAGTTCCTGCAGATGCTCACATATTTTCTAATATTTATGATCATCGTGAAGCCATTAAATAGCCCATAGTTCATATCAATGTTTTTATCTTCTTGTTGCAGACAAAACATTTTTTCTTCCTTGTCTGGAATGGATTAACTAGTAATTTTCTATAGTTTCTGATACTATGAACTCTTTAAGGTCATTATTGAGCTTATGCTGAATTTGTTTGGTTTTGTTCAGGTTGTATGCACTGAAGGCCCAGAAAGAATTAGAGAACTGATTGCAATGGGAGCATCCTTTGATCATGGCGATGATGGAAATTTGCACCTAGCTAGGGAGGGTGGGCATTCCCATCGCAGAATTGTTCATGCGGCTGATATGACTGGAAGGGAGATAGAGAGGGCACTATTAGAAGCAGCTGTCAGGGACCCTAACATCTTCTTGCTTCAACACCATTATGCTATCGATCTATTGACTTCCCAGGTTAAATTCTGCATTTGTCTTTCCGTTGACTACCCTTTATTGGTTTAGCATCTTATTCTTAGATGAAAGAACCATAAGAAGTCATATTAAATTGGATTGTTCTTTATTACACTACCTGTCTCTTGGCTCATAATGATTGCATTCTTTGAATCTATGTGATCCATTTACTTAATCTGATGATATTAATTACCTAAAATTGCAAATTTTTTGGCTAAAATTGTGGTAATTTTGGTGTACATAGTTGCACTTTTCACTAAGGTGTTTAATAGTAATGCACTTACAGGTCGTTTCAGAAAGGAATTAAGGATGAAAGTGAACTGTTGGTGGTTTGGAGTTTTATATACATTTGCGCACATTGTTACACAGACATACAATGGAACTTCCACCCTCCGCCCCGCTCATCCCCACCCTCCACCCCCAACATGCACAAACAAATAAGAAAAATTTCTATTTAAGCAGGCTAGAACTGATAGAGTTGCAAACTTTATGTGGGGCATAACTTTTAGTTTAGTTTTTCACCATTGAGTGTCGTTGCTTGTTAACTTTATAAAAGATTAAAAGGTGTTATGCACAACAGTCTTGTGAAAAGCTAAAACCATGCTTCCTTTGAATAGTCAAAAGTGTAGTATAATATACTACGTATTCTTAACAAAAGCACTTATATAGAATATAAAATGAAGTAATTGTCTGAAATTAGACTAATGAGTAGCTGTTCTTTCAGGATGGTTCCAACACTGCTTGTCATGGTGTTGACACTTTAAATACTGAAACACTGGAGGTAACTGAAAATTAATATGCTCACTTTTTGTATTGTGTGAAGAGTAGTTCATCCTTGTTACTAATTATCCTTTACCAATAACAGGTGGTGCGATTTCTATCAAAAGTGACTTTACTTGCATCTGGTGGTGCTGGTCATATCTACCCAACTACGACAAATCCTCTGGTATTAGTTGCTTTACATTTATATTCTTTAGAAGGGAATCCGTTTTTATTTCTTTTGTATTAGAAACCAAGTAGTTCAATATATATATGCTTCTAGGAAGGCATAGTCTCTTTTACTGCTTGTGTTGTGATATGAGATACTTGATCTTATCTTATAGACGATTTCTTTCATTTGACTAAGGGATGAAAATAAATGTAGGTAGCAACTGGAGACGGAGTTGCTATGGCCCATCGAGCCCAAGCCGTAATCGCAAATATGGAGTAAGAAATTCTGATGTCGCTTCCACTTTTTGACATTGAATATATTATCTAGTTATACTAATTTGTAGTTATTTTTTATTTCCCCCAAGGTTTGTTCAGTTTCACCCAACAGCCTTAGCAGATGAAGGCCTTCCTGTATCACCGGTGAAGGCCCGAGAAAATGCGTTTCTCATAACAGAAGCTGTGAGGGGAGATGGAGGGATCCTTTACAATTTAGACATGGAAAGATTTATGCCTCTGTATGACGAGAGAATGGAGCTTGCACCCAGAGATGTGGTTGCAAGAAGTATAGATGATCAATTGAAAAAGCGAAATGAGAAATATGTTCTCCTCGACATTAGTCACAAACCACAAGATGAGATCCTATCTCATTTTCCTAACATTGCAGCTGAATGTCTCAAGTTTGGCCTTGACATAACACGACACCCAATCCCTGTGGTCCCTGCTGCTCATTACATGTGTGGAGGAGTTCGAGCTGGGCTCCACGGGGAAACAAATGTGACAGGCCTCTACGTTGCAGGAGAGGTTGCTTGCACAGGCTTGCATGGAGCTAATCGGCTCGCAAGTAATTCATTACTTGAAGCCTTAGTTTTTGCAAGAAGAGCTGTGCAGCCTGCAATAGACCATATGTGTAACTCAAAACTCAATTTAAATGCTTCTGATAGGTGGGCGAAACCAATGGTAGCTGCATCACTTGGTGATGATGTACTTGGAAAACTCATAACTAAGACAAAAGAAATAAGGAAAGAACTACAAGCCGTTATGTGGACATATGTTGGAATTGTAAGGTCCACAGCTAGACTAACGACTGCAGAGCAGAAAATCGCCAGGTTGGAAGTTAAATGGGAGGAATACTTGTTTCAACATGGATGGAAGCCAACAATGGTTGGACTTGAAGCTTGTGAAATGAGGAACCTCTTTTGTTGTGCCAAGTTGGTAGTCAGCAGTGCTTTATCAAGAACTGAGAGCCGTGGCCTTCACTATACCACTGATTTCCCTCATCTAGTGGAAAGCAAACGGCTCCCAACCATTATTTGGCCTTCCTCACATATCAACAATACATGGAGTTCGAGGCAACTTCATCAGCAGTCAATCTGCCTATAGTATTAACTCTTATGGCTCATTTGGTAATTTTGTGATAATTAGGTGATAATTGATGATGAGCTTATATGTAATTTTGTGAGGCACTGCCGAATCTAATATTTTTTTTATAAGTGAGTTCAAATCAAATGTAAATAAATTCATTTATATAAAATATTAAAAAAAACATAAATACACTTTTCTAATGACTTATAAAATAAAAATAATTTAGTACGAAATAAAAATATATTTCGTTAAGAAAATTATTACACTGTTTTTGACGAAAGTATATTGGCATGATTATACACAGTATATACAATGTTTTTATTAATATATAGGAAAAATTGTCCGTAATAATCCGACCTTTGTATCATCTGTCCAAAATAATCCCATCATTATTGTCAATTTTCTTAAAATGGTCCCAAGTGACTTGTATCCGGTGAATATGTAGTTTTTGTTTGAGTTTAATTTCCACGTGTCACCACATGATTGGAAAAATAATAATAAAAAAAACCTAGTCAAAGTTGATCAAAGTAAAATCTAAGTAAAAAAACAAACCACTTGTAATACCCGAATATTTTATGATTTTACATAATATATTTTATAAAAAATTTATTTAGTTATTAAATAACTTTTCTAATTTAATCTCATATTTTATTTTAGAGTATGAAAAGTTGTAAAACCCTATTTTATTTACTTATTCTTATTCAGTTATTCTATATGAATTATTTGCCTATTAGTTCACGCCCATATTTCTAATTCGTCTATGCGTAAGATTTCACATGGTTGATTGAAGAATGACAATTATTTATCAATTCATTCTTCATATTTTACAAATATTAAAGATAAGTTGATTGGTCTAGTACAATCCTATTTCTTTGATCGGAAATTAAAGTGCCGCACAAGTTCATGGAAGCTACCTTGGTCGTGTTATTGTTAATACGAAGTATGTCGTTTGGTGTTGTTTATAGTTTTCTTATTAAGGTAATCACACTATGGATCTTTTAAAGTTACTTGATTATAATGTCCCAAAATTATCTTGAATTTGGGTTATAAAGGTCAAATTCGACCATGAAAACTCTAGATTTAGAGTTTTCATGGTCGAATTTGACGTGAAACCCTCAAATTTGGTGCTATTGCGGCAAAGTTAAGTGGTGGCGGCGGTGGTGGTCTAAAGAGGGGAAAGAAGAGAAGAAACTCCGACATGCTGGGCTAGAGAGAAACAAAGCAGCAGCCGCTGAAGTCAAAAAGCTTCTCAAAGCGGGTTTCATTCGAGAATGCCAATATACAGAGTGGCTATCTAATGTTGTTCTTGTTAGAAAGCCAAATGGCTCTTGGCGTATGTGCGTGGACATTATAGACTTGAACAAGGCTTGCCCGAAGGATGATCATCCTTTGCCTAAGATTGATAGGTTGGTGGATTCGACCGCTGGTCACGCCCTCCTAAGCTTCATGGATGCCAATGCAAGGTACATCAGATACCTATGTTGGAAAAGGATCAAGCCCACACGGCCTTCATCACCAGCCAAGGGATATACTGTTATTATGTGATGCCATTCGGCTTAAAGAATGTCGGGGCTACATACTAGCGCATGATAAATAAAATCTTTGAAGGGCAGCTAGGCCGAAATATTGAAGCCTATGTTGATGACATGATCGTTAAAAGCAAAGAGAGCTCAGACTACATAGGTGACCTAAGGGAAACATTCACCACCCTTAGAAAATATAAGATGAAGCTCAATCCAAGCAAATGTGTCATAAGGGTGCAAGGCTGTAGGGAATATTTCAAGCGTTACCCCTAACTTGAACCCCACTGTGATCATACACTAAAGTACGGTGGCGTCCAAAGGGAAAGAAGATAGAGCAAAAGAGTCGCCAACAAGTTTTAGGAACTTGTAAACCGTTCACGAGGTGAAGGTTACACCCCTTAACGATCCAGGAGATCGTCAACTCCAATAGGTCTTGAACCATGACTGGTAGTTCGGGGATGAAGGTACAAATCCAACCTAAAAGAGATTGAACCTGCCCTAATAATAGGCCTCTACTTTATTCTGATCATATTCATGTCCGCTTTCTGACTAACATGCAATCAATAGGTTTACCCTAAACCTTTTTATCTATGTTGGTTGAATTTAATGCACAAATAAACTATTATTGGCGATCACTTGAATTATAATCATATTAACCCTAAACAAGATTATTAATTATCTTATTAAGCATGATTACAAGTACAAATTCCCTTTAAACATGCATAAAAGGCGTGATCAAGCAATAAATAATAATAAGTATCAAGCAACAATAATCATAATAATAAAATTATAATCATAACAATCATAATTAAAAATAATCATCATAATAATAATTATAACAATTATAATAATAAATCAGAAAAATAATCATAATAATGTTAAAGCATAATAATAGCAAGATCCTAGGCATGATACTAACAAAATTAATAACAAACCCTAGCATGTCACTATACATTAAAAATCAAAGCTTTAGCCCTAACATGATATTATTAGGAAAGAAAATAGGAAGCATCACAAGAATCATAATTGTCATATTTGATATTAGAAATTATAGGTATTACCCTAAACATGATACTAGGAATAATTGTTGTCATTCAAAAAATCAAGCATCCTAACAAGATACTAGGAATCATAATAATAACCTAAGCATGATTTCTACATCATAATATCAATAAAAACCATTAAAGCACTTACTTGGATGCCTCGTACCTCTTTCTAACAACAAAATACACGCGTTAGTAACTTCAAGGAAAATATAAAACAAAACAATTAAATTAAATAATTGAAAGAGAGATTTGGGACCAAACCCTCAGAAATATTTAAACCTTTCACGTCTAGGGCGAAGGCAACTTCAATTATGCTAGGTGTATCTAGGTCTTGTGAATGCAGAATTTTGTAAAAAAAAAGAGGGTAGGTTAATTTAGAAAAGAGAGAGAAAAACTTTAGCTTAGAGAGAGAAAAGAGAGAATAAGAATTGATGATTGTCGATGATTTAAAACGGAGTTTTTAGGAGGCTATTTATAGAGAAAATCAGCCAAAAAGATAGAAAATCGAACCAGAGTTCTGACGTGAAAAAACAGAGTTAGCGCCAGACACTAACATTAGTGCCAGCCGCTAATCCTAGCGCCAGGCGCCAAGCTTAGCGTCAGGCGCTAATGCTGGCGTTAGGCGCTAACCAAGTTTTTGACGCGTTTTCTAAAATCAGATAGAAATTAACCGTACAGGAGGATAAAATCGTACTTTCCTCAATGTAGGCGTCGCTCGAAGTGCGCCTACGTTAAAAGCATGTGGTGAATATGCTTGGCACTCATAGGAAGTGGGAATTGACATAATACGATTAGGGACAAATAAAGTAGGGAGCCGCCAACAAGTTTTTAAGGAACTTGTAAACCGTTCACGGATCATAAAAAGGCAACCACGATAAGGGACAACGATAGGCAACAACGATTGACCCGTGAAGGTTACACCCCATTCATAATCCATGAGATTACTAACTCCATATGGTTCGGAACCACGAAAGGAGGATCGGGGATGATGGTACGAAGTGAGTCATGGAGTCACATTCGCCAGTATTGGCCTCTACTCGATTCTTATATTGAAAAGCATTCCTGTGATCTCAAAGGCATACAAACAATAATTCAATTCGCTCCAAACCATTATTTAACTAAATTGGTTGAATATTAATGCACACATAATTCTAAAATATTGGTGATCACTTCAATTAATAATAAGATTAAAAGGGATCCTAAACCGGTTGTCCAAATTATCTTATTAGGCGTGATTTTCAATTACATATTCCCTTTAAACATGCAATACGGTGATCAATAATAGAATAACATTTATATTAAAACCAAATTAATCACAATTCCAACAACATAAAATCGTTAGAAAAATAATAAAAATAAAAGGAGCATGATGCTTACTTTGATTCTGTTTGTTTGCAACTACAAAATAATAAACGAGTTAGTAATTTCAAGGAAATAATAAAACGATGATTAAATTAAATATAGTATAGTTGATTTTGGGGCCAAACCCTCAAACAGTTCTACCTTTCACGCCTTGGCTTAAGGATAGAACCACGAGTAAAGTATGCACTCCTTTAAGTACTTGAAGAAGGAATTTTGAAGTAGAAAAGGGTAGGCTAGTGTTTAGGATAAAGCATAGAAGAGAGAAAATAAAATAATCGAATTACTCAGTGCCCCGTTCATCAGAAATGAGGGGGTATTTATAGGGAAAATGTGCTGAGGGAGCACACGGAACCCTAAAATGATAAAAACCCTAAAAAAGTATCCCGTGACACGGTCAAACTGTACCGTGACACGTGAATTTTTCAGAAAACGGGATAGAAAACGCGTCAAGGGTTTACGCGGAAAAGACACGGAATGTCCCGTGTCACGGCAGACCTCCCGTGTCACGGGAAATCCCACCGTCAGACGGGAAGGATTCCCGTGACACGGTAGGTACCTGCCGTGGCGCGGGAAATTCCTGCCTGTTTTTCCGTCTAAATACATTTTTAACCCTAATTTCCTTCGGCATTTTAAGTGCCGATTGACAATTTCGGGCCTTTTCTGACTTTTTATTATTCGGGCTAAAATAAGAAAATAATTAAATAAAAATAAATAAAGGGTTTGGGCCAAAAATAAATAATAAAACAATAAAATAAAAAAGGTTTGGGCTAGAATTAATTAATAAGTTTGGGCTGAAATTTAAAACTATGCTTTTACCAAACATCAAGACTAATCCATGGACTGTTCAAAAATATGAATTTAATAAAATACGATTTTTTCAGCACTCTCGGGATTAAATACTAAACCCGACCAATAGTGGCGGTGAAAGGTTGTTCATCATCGGGTTTGGTTTTGGGGAGACATTTTTAGGTGTCTACAGAAGCCCCCACTTTGACTGAGTTTGTAGAAACGCCAGTTTCGAAAACGATAGTCAAAGTAGCCGATAGGGACGGAGAATGATTTAAGACTTTCTGCGATCCTAAATCACTCTGTATACGCCGATACTTGCAGAAAAATGTTAGTTCTACAGATAAAAGAGCAAAGGGATAGAATGCTTATCTAACACCAGTGTATTGGTGGCAAATGAGCTTGGTAGCTTCCTATGCTTGAAGGAATCCACCGGATGACGTCTGTTGAAACGCTTTCCATGC